ATGTGGTAAGCATTGTTATAGAAATCACTGTAATACAAATAGACATGAAAACCCTTTCTCCCAGTTAACTACCTCCACACCTGCGTTGCATCTGTCAACCAGCATGGCCTATCACTAAAGTGACTACATGCCTTGTATTAGAAAATGGACAGAGATGAATTTAAACTGCGTCCCTGCCCCCACCAATTTCTCTTGTCACATTTTGACCCATGATAAACTTCTTTCCCCTTCTTTATATATGGCCTAATTTTTAAGTCAGCCTCTGTGTTTAGTACTTAATTGTACATAATAGTTACTCCAAAAGATCCATGATTTTGTCAGTGTGGGAGTTCCATCAACACCTTAGTAGATAACCATCAATACCTTAGAAGCACTTCATGAAGTGCTGGTGGGGGGGGGGCTGCAAAAAAATGTATCACCTGGTGGCCAACTTTCTGGCAATAAGTCTCTCATCTCTTAGCTAGATGGGTCCTTGGATGAGAAACCTACATTTCATTGCCAGGCATGAACTCAGAGCCTTTCCATCTTGGCACGAGCTGCCAGAGCTTATACTTCACTGATATGGCCTTCAAGAACCCAGGGTCACTAGGGAGCATGAAAGTAAGACTTCAGTGAAGGACATAAAAGAGTATTTTCCTGAAAAAAAAATGTATGCAAATCAATTCAGTTAAAATGCACTGGTGAAACAAATGATTTAAAAGAACCCCATGGCACATCACTTACAAAATAAAATGACTTCCTAATTTATGCTCTTTTAGTTCCGATTTTAATTGGGATTTTCTCAAGACAGAACACAGCTATATTTCTACGTTCCAGGATAATCTTGCACCTGCTTCTCCCAATGGACATGAATAGTGACAGAGGAAACAATCTCCTCTCTGACTCACCTTTTTTTTACTACATTCCCCCCAAATTCCAATACCCCTAACTACACTAGTAAATACCCAGAGCTCACCCTTGGCTACAAGTGCAAGATTCATCAATTTTGGCCCCTGATTGGCCATCTGAAATGTGATTGCTTTCCCCATAAGAGCCTCAGTACAGACTCCCTCACACCCACTCCAATTCCAAGAGTCCACGGACTGCTGTTCTTGCTGAAAAGAGAAGAGACCTCTTTTTAGGCCATATGACCATAGGATTCTCCATTTCTCCTGGACCAGAGGAGCAGCCTATCACACCACCTATCACACTGATCTCAAGAAACAGTGCTGAACCAGGTTCTTCAGGTCCTTAGTGTGGAATCTTCTAATAGGTTGCATAACTTAATACCTAGCTAGGCTTCATTTTCTCTCCTTATCTATTCACAAGTAGAGAACGTTGGATTACCTCATATATGTAAGTATTCTAATGATAAGCAGCTCTTGTGTTTTATGTAAGAATTCCATAACAAGGGTGGAACTGCCAATTAGAGGGAGAAAAATCAATTAACAAGTATTTACTAAGAAACACAGGGTCATTCAAGGTCCCTACCAGGTTTCCAGCCTACTGGTTTGGAGAGGTCACAACAGAATTGCGCTACCTTGACAGAAATTCTGTTATGGGGAAGGTTGCTCTGATTCATCTGAGTAGTAACCTAGACACCCATATGCCCACAGAAAGTCTACTGGACTAGGGACTGCAGCTACGCTTCTGTCAGGACAGGAATGCAGCAGAGTAAGAGGAGGAGGAGAGGAACCAGATGCTGACATATATGCCCAGATGTGCCAAGATAACAGCATGTGCTCCAAGTGGGATATACTCCATGCCCAAGGGAAATAGTAACGTGGTAAAGAAGAGAGTGTTTCTGAATGCGCCCAGAATGCTGTCAGTAAATTACCAACCACTCCAGCCCTTGCCAAGCGGCAATGCAGGATAGACCCATCTGAGTAGCCACCTAGACACCCATATGCCCCATTTCAATAGAAAACCTACTAGAGTGAGGGACTGCACCAGTGAGGGACTTCCATCAGGTCAGGAATGCAGCAGAGTAAGAAGAGGAGGACATTATCCTTCAAGCAACCAGATTCACTGCATGACAGTGGGGTAACAGAAAGGAACCAGGGTCCTCGGGTAAACACCATCCCTACCTCTTCCTGAAACAGAAGCTATATAAAACTATACAAGATATACTGAGTTCCCTCTCCTGCTACTAAACCAGACCCCCTAGACCCAGCCGGCCCACACAGCCACCCAACCCTACTTGAAGCTGTAAATGTACATAAGCTAGTCTCTAGCAGCTCTTTATGCGCATGCAGACACGAACACCCTCAAAGGTAAATCCATTGCTGCAGTACTGGATGATAAGAGCCAGGAAAACCAAAATGAAGCAGACTGCTGTCCCCACTGGATCTTCGCCCCCTAACCCTTAGCCCCTCTAGCTTCAGCTCAGTAAAGCCCAAGGGGATTCCCCCAGGCAGTGGTTCTCCAGGTGAAATGGGGATCTCCTAAGGGAATTCCAAACCTTCCCCTTTCCGGCAGCTTATCTGGAGTAAGGAAAGGGACAAGCGGAGGAGGCAAAGCTTGCGTAAGATGCAGGGTACCCAGGGCTTCCCCAAGCTGGGCACTTCTGCCTGGAAGGATGGGCTAAAAAGACTGAGGCACTTCGGAGTCTCCCTGGAGCTTCGGACCTTCAATCAGCACTTCCGATTTTCACAACAATCTTAACGAGAGGAAGAAAACAGGCTGGGCCTGAGCCCCCTGGGAAGCAGGGACCCCTTGGGGAACGGTTCCAGAGTCAGCTGGTCCCTGTATACACCCAGGTGGCTCATTTTTGCAGTTTGATTTTTATAAATATCCATCGCTAGGGCTAGGCTCAGTTCAGTGTTAAGAAGGACAGTTTCAATAGCTAAATTGTTATTTAGACCCAGTTCATTCTGACAGACTGGGAGCACCCAGCAGCGCTGAACACAATGATGGCTAATCCTCTATCGTGAGATTCTACCCCCAACCACTCCACTACCCACCAGATTGAGATCAAACTCAGCTACTGAATCAGGGCACCCCCCCCCCCAAGATCTATATACCCTTAAGACCTCAAATTGTTTTTCCTTCCAGTGAAATTGTTTTTCTCTGATCAAAACCCTACAGCGAACACCATCTCCTACAGCAGTGTCCCACAGAGGAGCAGTGCCCTCTCCACAACAGAAGAGGCTAACCCCATCAGCTCCATGCAGCCACAGTTCTTAGAGCTTAGACTCCCAGGGATAGCTTGAGTTGCAAACTTTCAAATTTAGAAACAGCCAGGAGGGATCAACCCTAGACCTCAGTGGAGGGAGAAAGAAGAAAATCTTTGCATCCACATTAAAGGTGGAAGCATGATGTAATGGAAGTCAGAAAGCCAGGGTTCAAGGCCTAGATTTGCCATTTTCTTTTTAGCTGTGGTGACTCTGGGAAAGTGATTTCATCTTTCTGGGACTCATTTTCCTCATCTGCCAAATACAGAAGGGGGAAGGAGGGTTGGACCAGGTAAATGTTAAGGTCACCTCAGCTCTCACATTAGTTCTAAGTAACAAAGCTGGGGGTAAAGGAAGTAGTTAGCTGTGGTCCATTTCCTGTTCCCTCTCTGAAAGGCTCCCTTTGGTCATGGTTGCAATCAGCTGAGGGGCTGGAGCCATTTCCATTCATCTGGTGGCCCCTAGACTAACTGAATTTATTAAGATAAACTTAGTGGGCATAGCAACCAAAGAAAACTTTGTGGTTGGAACTAATTAGCACCCTGGATGGCATCCCCCAGCAAGAGGGAGTAGAGCAATTCTGCAGCCCAAGCCTTCAATTGGAAATCAGAACTCCAAGGCCCTATTTCTAAACAGGTGACCTTGGGAATATTTGCACTATTCCTCTCCCCTGCCCCCTTCCAATATCTCTAAAATAGAAAAGAGAAACTGAAGGCTCTGGCACCAAGTTGAGAAGTTGGGGTTAACTCATGCCCAGAAAACAATTCTACAGATCTTCCTGACAATCTCAAGGCACTAAGGCGACAGAGGAAGAACTATACCCTGAGAAGAAAACAGTATCAGGAAGCAAGCTGGAGCTGTCACTACCCAAGACAGCTATACTTTAGCAAGAGAACGCTGGTTTCTGGATCTGGAACTGTTAGCAAGTTAGCACAAGCAGACAACTGGGGGACATTCCTCAAAGTCAGTCCTCTGTCCTCCCCCATGGATACAGTCTGAGACCAGAATGCCATAAGATGACTGTGTTGAGACTGGCCACCCTCATTTCCAATGAGGTTTCCCCTGGCAGCCATACAGCTTGACTAACAATGCAGAGGGAGGGATGTATACTACTTAAAGGTACTTATCCACCCTCAATCCACTCCCCCCCCCCCCCCATAGGCCCTCGAATATGAGACTATGGAAACTACCCACCAAGGTATACTATGGAAGATGATAAAATAGCTTTTCCCTAGACTCCAGTTTGCCCCCAGCAGAGGGCTGCCCCCACCATTTTCTTTCCTAAAGAAGGAAAAGTCTCCTGAGCCGAGGGAAGGGTAGGGAAAGGAAGAAGGAGGAAGGGAGGAGGGAGAAGGGTTGTCAGAAAAGTGCATAAATAATAAAGGAAGGATGAATCCTTAGATTGGAGGGGGAAGGAATGTACCTGGGGCGCCCAGGAATAACCCCAGGAACCAGGCAGCCAGAGCTGCAGAGTGGGAGAATCTTGAGGGGATTCGAGGCAGGGAGGGGTGGGTAGTAAGGCTGCCACTCTGAGCTCTAATCCATCCCCCCACCCACCCCACAGCATTCCAATCACCCCTAAAGCTCCTGCCCGCTCTTGGCAGTAAGCTCGCATCCCAGTGACACAAGGGGTCAGTCACCCTTTTCCTCACAGCTCTGGGCTTCCTCGAGGTGGGCAGGTGGGGGGGCTGCTTCAGGGTTCCGTGCTCCCCCCTCCACGGGTAACCCCACAGCGCGTCCCCTTCAGGGTACCCCTCCCGCAGCAACGCCCCCCGCCCCCGCCTTCACTTCTCCTCCCTCCCCGGGGCAGGGCAGGGTCGGGGGGCGTCCCCCAGCGAGCGGGCTCACCTCGCTCATGGCGGCAGGACCGGGCTCGTTGGGGGAGCTGCACCCGCAGGTGAAGGGGCTAGCAGGGGCGGCGGTTGTCTCAGGGAGCCCCTGGCCGTCGGCAGCTGTCTCACCGGGCTGTCCAAGAGAGGGGCGCGCGAGGCTGAACACACAAGCGGAAGGAATGCAGACAGACCCCCGCGGCTGGGCACTCAGCACCCCAGCTTCGGAGCGCTTTCACTCCCGTTATCCCTTTCCGACCTGTCCTGTCAAAGCGGCTCCGCGATGCCCGCCCCGTATTTTATATCCAGCTCCTGGGACCCGCCTCCGGCTTGGCCAATGAGGATGCCTTATTCCGGAAGACTGACAGTTGGGCCCAGCCAATAGCAGAAGGCTCAGTGGTTTGCAGCATTTCCAAACTAGGGTAAGATAGACAAGCGAGCGGGGCGGGGGGGGGGGGGGGGGAAGACGGGGAGTGCTTGTTTGAGAAATAAACCAGGAGGGAAAAGTTGGGAGGGAAATAGCAAGGGGTGATGGGAAGTAGAGAGAGAGCATGGATTGGAAAGGGATGATCCAACAGATGTCACTTAGAACCACTCGCTGGTTCTTGCTGATGTGTATAGGTAGGGGGCAAACAGAAAGAGAAGCCATGATCACTCCAAAGCGTTTTCCATGCAAGATAATGGAGAAAATTGAGACCACGTGCTTGACTGTTATAATCACAACTTGTCCGTTTTCACCCTCCCCTCCGAGTACTGGGTACCCATAACATATTTGCTACCATCCTGGGCGCTGTACAGGCTACAAAGAAATTTGAAGCATGGTCCCTTGCTCTCAGGGAGCCTACATTCTCACCCTGGAGATTAAACACATAAGACACATTTCTGGATTGAAGCTGTTTGGCTTGGCAGAGCATGCCCTCTAAAGTCTGGTCAGTTCCTCCCAAGCACTGTGCCAGGAATTTGGTTACTAAGCACCAAGCAACTGGAATACCTTTAGATAAGGAGACTAGCTGATGGAGAGATAGGGGTGAAAATGAAGCCAATCCAATCTGTGTTGTATACCTGCAGACACAGATACCACAATTTTTCATGTCCAGGCTCCTCATTTTGCAGAAGGGGAAACTAAAGCCGGGAAATGGACTGTGACCTTTTTGAGGCTGAACAGTGAGCCAGATCTCTTGAATTCCTAATCAGGGCCTCTTTCCACTATGGTCACAATGATGCTACTTTCTAATTACTATCAATATTTATGATATGGAGTTGGGGGCGTGAGGGGGAGGCATTCAATTCAAAATTTAAAAGAGAATATTTAGGTACAAGTCACATAGGTAAGTATAAGGGACTAGACCTAAAATTTCATTGATATGGGGAACTCCCAGCTAAGACAGCTTCCTCTGCTAATGGAAGTCAGAACTATCACTTCAATAGTTCTTATCTAGAGACTTATCTAGAGCATTAAGACGTTAAATGACTTGCTCACAGTCTCAGGTGAGTTTATATGCCTGGGCAGTTAGGTGATAGAGCACTGAGCTTGGAGTCAGGAAGACTCATTTTCCTGAGTTCAAATCTGGCCTCAAGACACTTAGTAGCTGTATGACTCTGGGCTAATCACTTAACTGTTTGCCTCAGTTTCTTCATCTGTAAAATGAGCTGGAGAAGGAAATGGCAAACCACTCTAGTATCTTGCCAAGAAAACCCCAAATGGGGTCACAAAGAGCTGAACAGGACTGAAATGACACAACACTGACTTCAAGTATATCAGTCTAACTATCAGTCCTTGCTGCTTTTCACAAATCATATACCTTAACTGAATTTCAACTATTATCAGTCATTGTTTATCAAAAGCTCTGCCTTTCATTTCATTAGTCTTTAAAGCCTGTTACTAAAGATATTCTCAGACTTTCTAGAAAAATACCCCCAGGCAATGCCAAACATTTGCAATTTTCATTTTAAAAGCCTTTAGATGCTTTTCCCTTTGTTGATGGCAAAGGTTCACTTCACTCATAGCTGTTGCTTAGCTTTCCTTAAGTAGCTACTTTCAGTCGAGGTCTCAAATAACTTTCCCCCTCTAATCACTAGATCTTGATCTTTCTTTTTCCAGTATGTCCCCAAATATCTCTCAAGTGTGGATCCCCGATATTGTCCCTACCTCCAAGACACTTTGGGAATCTGTATCCACTCAAAACCGTAGCTCACAATTCCCCTACCTGTGTGTTTCATTTACTAGGCTAACCAGGAGACTCTGTTCAAAACAAAATAAGTGGCAAAAAACAGATTTCCCCAATAAATACTAGAGGTACACTCACCCACACCTCCAAGGGAAGAAACCACCTACAAAGGACACATAACCAGGGAACACTCCTGCAAAGTACACACACAGCCAGTGCAATTCATACACCTAAGGTTGCATCCCTACTAAAATCCTAGCTGCTGCTTATTTCTCTGATGTCTTCTGGTGAAGATGGTGGTCTGTAAGATACTTTCTCTGTTGGACTTGAGTCCTCTGCTGAGTTATTCTCGATGACTGGTTGCTCTTTATTACTCTTTCCTGCCATATCCACTGAACTGCTCTGTGTTGATTTTCACTTGTTGTTCTGTGTCTTTCCCCAAAGGGGAAGACTTTCATTAGCATAGCCACAGGGGCTGATTCAATTGTTTCTACTTTCAGACCCCAGACAGCTGCATACACCCAGCTAATTAAAGAAGCTCTTAGGCACTTCTCTTTCGAAGTATACTCCTCTGCCATATTTACACTCTTAAGTGAGTCATGGTCAGAAAAATCCTTTAAACTACTACCATACTCCTCGCCCTAGCCTGAATCCTTATAGATTGTCCCCAGGAGAGGACTGAAAAGGCCTGACTTGGAACTGTGGTAAAGAGTTTCATTTCAACCTCCTCAATGCTGTTGATGGAACGCCTAAAAGTCTATGCAAATGACCTCTGCAACAGGAACTGGAGACCTTCTCTCTATTTCCCTCCCACTACCACCCCATCCTACCCCCCTCTAACCAAATCTCCACATTGTGATGCTGGAAACCTTGGTCCTTCTTTCCATCCACCTCACTCCCTCTTACCCCCCAGTAATAGATCTCTGTATTCCCTACATCCCCATATACCTAAGATTCCATGACTCACCTTTCAACAAGGATATAGTAGCCTGGGTTACTAAGTTGCTAACTAGGGCAGTTCCAACTTTTTTCTATGTTGCTACCTCCTTTCCTTCCCTTTTTAATGAGTGGCTAATTAGCATTGGAAAAAAATTTTTTTTCTTTATTATAGGAAGCCTTCCAGCAGTTTTTAAATAGTTACATAATGGCTATCTCACGATGTTTCAGTTCTACATTTCAAAGGATCTGTGATCCCATAAAGGAGAGCACTCCTTCTACGGCACATACAGATTCAAACTCGTCCATACTTTCTTTCTGCTTGTCCCTGTCCATGTCCTCCCTTAGAAGGCTCTACTCAGCTTTCTTTAAATTGCTTAACATTCCACGTGTAGTGAGGAATTGATCAAGGATTTCCTTGGTCAGTTGAATCCCCCCCAGTCCATACAGATATAAGAGGCCGGTAACAGAGACAATGAGATGTCAGGGCACTCTGTTTTCAAAAACACAAATGGACAAAAATCTAAAAGGGGCACACCTCTCCATTTCATCGGGCCGTGGTAGTACTCCCTTTCTCACTACACAAATAGCCCACCTGGTTTTCTGAACAGCATCTTTTACACCACTTGGTGACTTCAGGAACAGAAAACAATGCAGCACACAACCTAATTGTTAGTGCTCTCTCTCATTAGTGTCTCAAAGCCTACTCGTTGAGAAACAGAATTCTTACCTTTCCCCTCAACCCAACACTAACTGCCGACCAACTGCTAAGGATAGGTAAGTAATCCCAAGAGCCCTGGGAACAGCGGTATCCCTCCCCCAGTGGACACTACTGTCCCTACTTCTAGCTCCGCCCCCAAAGCCATCATGGAGATGTGACCTGGCTAATTCCTTAACAGGTGCCGTAGCCCTCACCTCCTCAATAGCCCAAACTTCAGAAGACCCAGAAAAGAAAGCTCTTACCACCGGTATCCTAGACACTGCCAAATCAGAAACTAATATGGTTTGAGTAATGAAAATAACACTGAAGAACAACATTTACTGTTTTGCTGCTGCTCTCAAAGGAGCCCTGGGTCTTTCCATCTGACCTGCAGCCAAGCCCTCCTGCACGTATTGTTCAGAATGTGAGCTCCCTGACAGCAGGGACAGCCGCACTCCTCTCTGAATCCTTAGTCCTTGGCACGATGCTTTGAGCAGAGGAAGCACTTCGATGCTTTTTCACTCATTCATTCCTCCTGCAAACATTACGATTTATGTTGAGAGCATTCTCAATCTAGTCCATTCAGGTCCCTTCTCCCTCACCCCCACATATATAGTCAATTACCAAATCTTGTCAATTCCTCCCTCCTCTTAGGTAGCTAGCCTGGAACTCCAGGAAGAGCCCTAGAGTTAGAATCTGAAGATCTAAGGTGGGAAGTATTATTACCTGTATGTATGCCCTTGGGCAAGGAAGTAAAGCTCTCTGGGCCTCCCTTTCCTTATCTGTAACATGAGGGGGCTGATGAGAGCCTCTCTTCAGGTGCCTCCCAGCTCTGCTCTAGCACACCAGGATGATTCTGGGTTCTCTCTCTTCTCTGCTTTTTTAGAATCCCTGGCTTCCTTCAGGTCTCGCCTAAGGCCTCCCCATCCCGCATCCCATGAAGTTTTTTTTCTGATGCCCTTAGATGTTAGTCTTTTCTATCTTCTCAGATTTTCTTATTTGGCAGCTTCCCCTCCCCCTTCACAGAAGGAACCCTGAAAAGTTATTCTAAATTCAAAGCATGTTGTGGGTCAGCATATTCTGAAAACCCACAACTTATGAGCCACCCCCCATGCCCCCTCCAATGTTTCTTTTACTAAGTCAACTAGAAGACATGTTAATTAGTTTGAAGCATAGCACATTTAATGAAATGAAATAAGTGATAAAATAGCTCCTCCCACCACAATAAATACAGGGCTGTACTTTCACAGACGATCACACCACCAGTGGGAGACAGGATACCTACTTGGAACAAGTGTGGCACATTGAGGAGGGCTATTGAGGAGGTGGGGGCTACAGAACCAACCTGTAGAGGAAATAGCCAGGTCATACCTCCATGAAGGCTTTGGGGGCTGGGCTAGAAGTAGGACCATTGGTATTTGTTGGAAGAACACACACATAGGGGCACTTACATG